TTTTCTTGCAGGTTCGAATTCTTATGGTCGGTCTTGATGCTGCTGGAAAGACCACGATCTTGTACAAACTGAAGCTGGGAGAAATTGTAACCACGATTCCTACTATTGGTGCGTTTTTCACTAAAGTTTTCCGTTCTAAAATGCTCCTCGTTTGTAGTTATACCATTTCTAATTTGAGGATTCAACGTGGAAACTGTCGAGTACAAAAATATTTCGTTCACCGTCTGGGATGTTGGAGGTCAAGATAAGATTAGACCATTGTGGAGGCATTACTTCCAAAATACGCAAGGTCTCATCTTTGTGGTGAGTCAGGCAATTTTTCAATATTGATGGTTTGAATTTAATTAAGACACTAGACGATGTGGTGATTGCTAATCATTCTTAGCCAATAAAGGTTGCTTTTGTCTTTTCTTTTCTAGCAAAAATTAAAATTTCTAAATTCAGTTTCTTGATATGCAAGTGTTATTTTCTGAGATGGGAATAGGGTTAGTTTCAAGAAAATTTATTCACCCATTTTTATCAACTGCGCGCAAGTTCATAGCTTGTTGCATTCATTCAAATTGCCAGCACATCGTGCCTTAGTCATAGATGTTTTTTTTTGTCTCGACATGTCACCGAAATTTCTACTTTTAGGTCGATTCCAATGATCGTGAACGTATCGAAGAGTCACGGGAAGAACTTCACAAGATGCTGAACGAGGACGAGTTGAGGGACGCTACTCTTCTTGTATTCGCTAACAAACAGGTACGATTGCCAGTATAGTACGTTTGCAGCTGAAGTGATTTTTCTAGGATCTCCCTAATGCAATGAGCGCCGCTGAATTGACGGATAAACTTGGACTGCACAATCTGCGTTCACGACAGGTAAATTATAGTGTCTTTATGTTGTTGACGAAACATAAGGTTTTGAATCAGTGAACATACTCAGCAATCGCTTTTACCTTCACTTGTAAACTTTGCTGTAAATTTTTATGGATTGAGTCAGCAGCCGTATAATTTCCATTTTCTTGCATGCGCGAGGACGTGCGAGGCAGCGTAAGTGGAACAAATAGCTGGGTCAGATCAGGCGTATAGATAATATAACAACTTTGTTCACTAATAAGCCGCAATTTTGAGCTAACATGATTGAAAATGTTGGAGTATTTGTACACAATTTAGTCATCAAATAGCTTCATTATCTTGAAATGTTATATTTATACCCTGCCCTTTTCAGTGGTACATCCAGGCGACATGCGCTACTCAGGGTCACGGACTTTACGAGGGCTTGGACTGGTTATCCAACCAGCTGTCGAAATCCTAAATAAAGTTTCCATCATTGTAAGGCCGTATTCGATTAATGCCCATTCAATCGAATGTACGTTATTATTATATCCCTATTTATAATTGGTAACGTATGCTGCCCGCCTTCTTCGTCGCTCGGATGTGGTGTGTGTAGAAATATGCGACATCCATATTTTTCCTTGAATATGTGCATTCGGCTTGTTTTCGCGGCTACTTTGTTTAACAAAATAATGATTACTTGTTAACTTTACCGATCGGGCTCCATTGTGATGATCGACTGGATAATGCCTCAATAACGGTGTATGAGCGCGTTCGACGCGAGCGACGGCTATCTGGACAGCAGTCGTGTACATTATCCCGTTCTGTGTCTAATTGTGATTCCAGTTTCATTTCTCTGTTCGTCGTTTGGGTAGCGTGTGCGAAGCCCTCATATATCGTTTCCAACATTATCGGTGGATGTGATGTTTTTTCTTTGCGGATTATACTAATAAACTTTTATTGGAATTGACGTCTTCAAGGTGTTTTGGAAACCCGAGGACGTAGTAGACCTACGCAAGCAGTATGATAGGATTCAATTATAGGATGATTACTCAGTAGATAGCAAAAAATTGCGGTACCTTCCTCTTAGCAATCATCATGTAAATACCGGTTTTGACTATCCCTATATCAGTATAGTAATTATGTTTTGCTTAGGTACTTCAAATAAACAATTCCTTCAGTGATTTATTATCCGCACAGGATGCGCAAAGGTGAGAGAATGTGCATTTTCTTTGCTTTTAGAAGATTCTGGAAAATTGTTGTTTGTACACACTAATGTATTCGCGTACTTTCTTCCTAAGTAGGTTTGGAAACATTCATTTTAGGAAGTTTGAGTACATTACGAAGACATTTATCATTTCGAACTACAGACAATACATCGGTACTTTCACCAATAAAAAAGTATCGGCTATGGATTTCTATGCGCATCGCATAAAAATGAGATCTTTTTCAACCACGTAGTAAAATGTCGGAACCTAGAAATTTTTGCTGGGGGACAAAATGGATGCACGATGTTGGTAAAAATTTTTTCCCGAAATCACGACATTTCTATAGGAATCGGTGAAAGTCCCCCGAAAACTATGAGCGGTGGGGCTAGATATGCTCAGTTTAGGATCATGAGGATGGTGGTTAAAGCAGTGGTTCGGCAAATCTCAACCTAGTCAAGTTCTCGCTTACCTCGGGTTATTTAATGCGCTGATTCCGAAAATCCACTTTAGAGAGCTTAGCCAGTAGAAGCAAGCGTTTTCCAGTGCAATTCGCTTTTAATTTGGACAAGTGCAGCAAGTCTGATGTTGAATCTTGCCGGACCCAATGGTTATAGCAATGC